TTGAGTAGTCAGTGTGATTATCATGATCAGGTAGTGATGTCATAGATTCACACGGTATTCGGGTGAAGCTGCCAAGTATTTCAATGAAAAGATAAGACCTAGTTAGCAGAGCTTTGGACAAGTAACCTAGATTCTGTTACTTCAAATCTTGTAACCAGGCTGGTATTCATTTCACCATTGTATCAATAACAACACTAGTCTACCAGAGAAACCTTAGTAATCTTCAGATATTTTGACGAATGGAAGTGAACATTTTTTCATTGTAAAAGACAATAACAATACTCTAACAACTGAGCTATAAAGTCATCGGGTTGGAAATTCGGTGGTCGCTGGTTCGAATAACGCAGTGGTCTAAATTTTCATTTCATCTTCTTCAATTATCGCCTAGTAGTCTATCAAAACCATATCTATCTCAGATAGTTTAATGAAAAGACAAAATGTGTCAATTATGTGTAACCTTTAAAACAAACAGATATCTAAAGTATATGCAAATAATATAGAGATATGAAAATATGTAAATAATATTACTCACTAAGATCTTCAGCCAATTGTACACGTCTACCAGTGATCAACTTCTTTAGATGCATAGGATCATTTGATATTTCATTTAAAACATGTTTCACATGATATTCTAAGCGTCTCGCTGGTATTTATAAGTTAAATTAACGGTTGTGCGTCATAATTAATACACTGTATATATATATATATATATATATATATATATATATATATATATATATATATAAATTGGAATAAATTGAAAATGTTTTATAATAAATTGGTTAGTAGTGGCCAGCAGAAGAACCTAGTACGCGCGTTTCGTCCTATTTAAGACTCGTCAGCCGAATTTACCTGCGCCCCAGTGATGTTCCCACTGGCACTCGAACCTCGTACCCATCGTTTCAAACGCCAAGGCGTTATTCACTATGCCATGGAGGGACGACAGCCACTTCTTGTACAATGGGTAGTAGTTATTACTATTTACTGACATACTTGTTATTCTCCGTTGTTTTGTCCCATCGAATTGTTCGACATATATTGGCATATGGGCTCCTATGCGGATACCTTAACATTGCCTGAATGTTAATTATGATAAATTGGTTGGTTGTGGCTAGCAGAAGAAACCAGGACGCGCATTTCGTCCTATTTGGGACTCGTCAGCTGGATGTACCTGCACCCCAGTGACTTTGTTCCCACTGGGATTCGAACCTCGTACCCATCGCTTCAAACGCTTCAAACCAACCAAATTTTCATAATTAACAATCAGGCAATATCGAGGCATCCATATAGGAGCGCATATGCCAATAGAGGTTGAAAATGTTTTGTTAAAAGTTGCGTTTATTAGGAAGATCAAATGAAATAACATCGGAAACAAATAAATACAAAAAAACAGAGTAATAATGACGATATAAGAGTACAAAGATAAATGTGACAAAAAAGGGGAAAGGTTTGATAAACGAAAAAAGAGGACGAAACGCACCAAGACTAAAATAAATTAAGGCCCATGTAGAGACAAAGACTGTACATACTTCTTTCGGACACAAAGGTCAGGGTGGGCTTCACTTCATGGATAGCCAAAGCCTCTGGTATTTTTAGAAGCTGAATATGGAGTAAACGTTAGGTGTTAGGGCGAATTCGATAGACAACCTTAAAATCTTTGTTTGGGTCGGTTGAATGGTTGGAATCGATTAAATGTTCAAGGATAGAACTTCTGATGCGAGGACATATTCCGGCCTGGTTTTATAAGCGTAAAAAAGGAAATGCATCAGAAGTTGTATCCTTGAACATTTAATCGATTCCAACCATTCAACCCTCCCCAAACAATGATTTCAAGGTTGTCTATCGAATCCGCTGAAACACCTCATGTTTCCTCCATGTTCAACTTCTAAGAACACCAGAGGCCTTGACTATCCATGAACTGAAGCCTGACCTCTGAGTGCAAAAGAAGTATGTACAGTCTTAGTCTCTATATGAACCTTAACTTATTTTAGTCTTGATGTGCTTCCTTCCCTTTATGGTTGTTTCTTCAACTTCCTCTTTGGTAGATTCATGTTTATACTCTTATATCGTCATTATCATTATTATTGTTTCGTTTAATAGTTTCCGGTGTTATTCCATTTCATCTTCCTAATAAACCCAACTTTTAACAAAACATTCTCAATTTATTCCAATCACCCTGTTGTCTCATTCATAGCACCTAATCAACTTTCATTGTTTATTAACTTTACCACGTTTTCACCCCTTTTTAATCCGTATGCATTTTATAAATGATTTGAAAATCGTATGTAACCCCTTTTTGTTATCATTCGACGTTTACATCATCAACTAGCAACATTATTATCATTATAACCATTATTATTATTGTTTCAACCCCTATTATTTCAGTTAAATCTTCCTCACGGATTACAATCTTTAAATATCATGCACATATATACGAATGTACAGCTTGAGAATAAATTAGTTGAAAAGAGTCATCTTCGCTGAATATCTTGTTTTTAATGATACAATTAATACACATTATTGAAAACCACACATATATCTGACCATGGTTACTTAATTCCATTTTAGTCTGTTTATTAGAAATGTCACATACACTAAAGGAACAGTATCGTTTACTAGATTACAATGTTTCTGACACAATTTATTGTCCATATTCATATCAGGTAACTAACTCGACAACTTTGAGACAGAATTGATATCAATAGTTCTAATGTTCTCTCCTTCTTTGTGATGACAAGGTTAGTAGAATTTCCCACATATCTGGGATAGGTGCAAAATTATTTCCATTACTGCATGTATTTGGTATTGATTCGATAAACAAAGATTCGGTTATCAATCTCTCCCTCCCTTCACCCAAATAAGTTAGTTTACAACACTGTCGCCTTATCCAACCCTACAATGTGATTGTATAGAATTGCATGCATAGTTAAGGCTGAGCTTTTCCCTAAATTTCTTATCCTATTACAAACTACTACTCTTGACTTGGCTAAGTTTATGTGCTGTTATTCTAATCGATGCTTGTCAGCTACTCTGATCGATGTATTTTACCTTGCAATTATTGCAAAGAATTTCGTAAACCAGATTATTTTGTTTAATTGCATCGATGGGATCTTTTAAGCTATAAAGCTAATTTCTAAGTGAGTTTGTTGGTTTAAATGCCACTCTAATCCCAACCAGCTTTATTAAGAATTCTTCGTAATACTTCTAGGATGCCTTCATTGTATGGTAACATAGTAGAAGCTTTGAATCCTCTCTTAACCCTGTCACCATTATTACCAATAGTAGTAGAATTATGATTAATAACACTTGTGTTACTACTACTTCGAATTTCGTTGGAGGATTTGTGTCCACTTGCAGTTCTGTGATTGCAGGTGGTATTTCTGGACGAAGTTCAGACTGTAGTCGATTCAAGAGCTTTTTGAAGTGGATCATGCAACAAACAGTGAGGAGCGAGAAGAGGGGATACGCTGGCTGGACCGCAGAAAAGAACCTAGAAGACTTGGATTTCACCGATGACTTGTGTCTAGTGTGTCGTCGCACAAACTCGAAGATCTACAGGCAAAAACTAACAAGTCGACGGAAGAGGCAGGGAAAGGCCGCGAAGACGGGACTTCAAGTGAATGTAGAGAAGACAGAGGTGATGAAGATACCCAACCAACAACAGCGAGCTCCAATCACCATCAACGGAAGAAACTTAAAAGAAGTAGCCTCTTTCACTTATCTAGGCAGCATCGTTTCAACCACAGGCAGCGGCACAGACGAGGACGTCAAAGCAGTAAGGATCCGAAAAGCAAGACAAGCGTTCATTAACCTGAAACCAGTGTGGAGATCTACTGCACTGCACTCAGCATAAAACATGAACAAGATCCGGATTTTCAACACCAACATTAAGTCAGTGCTGCTATATGGTTCAGAAACTTGGCGCGTTACGAAAGGCATTTCCAACAAACTAAAGACATTCATCAACAACTGCCTACGCTGGCTCGATTCTGAAGCTAAGATGGTCAGATAGAATAAGTAACAAGGAACTCTGACAACGAACCAACCAACAACCTATCACCCAACAAATATGCAGAGGAAGAAAGTGGAGATGGATTGGGCCTACACTGAGAAGGCCGATTGGGGACATCATGCGCCAGGCCAGTTACTCAAGTCGAACCCAGATGGGAAGCGACAAGTTGGGCGACAGAGTCGAGGGTGACATGGAGGAGATGATGTGAGGAAGAAATGAGAGCTTGTAGGCTGTCATGGAGCCAGGTTCAAAAGATTGCAGAGAACAGAGTGCACTGCAGACGTGCTACCGAAGCCCTATGTTCCATTAGGAAACCAAGGGACATATAATAATAATAATAATAGTACAACTACTATTACTGCTCATATCTTTCTTTTGACTTCTTATGAATTTATTTAGAAATCTAGGTGAGTAATTATAGAGACGCAGGGTGTTATTGGTATGTTTTATTTCTTGTCGTACTAGTAAACTTTCTTGCCCTATTATTTAACCATTTAACTAAGCCTACTTCAACTGAGATGATGTGAAGTCGAAGTAGCCATTCAAGCGGGAAGGTTTTCTATAGACACTAGTCTCTAGACTTTCATCTGGTCTTCGTTTCATCTTGTAATCCATCATTCACAGATATTATCTTCATCACTTTCTATGCCACAGGTAAATTGGATTGTATTCACTGCTGAATTTATATGTGTCAAGAACCTATTGATGTATTCTGATTTCAGTACTGTAAACCTATCATCTACATATTAGATCCATATCTTTCGAGTTGGACTAAATATGTGAAGGGAAGCACAAATCGAATTGGCATATTACATAGTTGTACATCATATGAATGTACATGAACGTGACTATTCCTTCAGCGTTTTTCTTCGAGAAGTTTGAAGTACTGATTATGAAGTAATCAGATGATTATCATTCACAGAATTTTAAACATGATATTTGAAGAATGAATGGAATATTTCATATTTTTTTTTCGAATTTCTCTTTTCGTTTAACTTTCTGGAGTAAGATGGTATTGTAGAATAGTAGTAACTATCTTTTTATTAGTTTAGATATCTTTTCGTCAAAAGTCATATTCTTTCATGGTTTCAATTCTAAAGGCTCTACTAGGTATAGTAAGTGAATTCCAATAGTTAGCTCTAGATGAACAGTCTGGTTTCCATAGTAATCAATACAATAAACGATTGGACTACCAGTTGAAATGTCAAATCAGATAAGGATAGAGGAAGGTAGTACAAAAATCACCCTTCATCTTGAAGCTAAAGTTCCAATACGTGGTTCAGTGTAAATCATTAAATAAAGAACCTGTTATGCAACAAAAGTTAACCTTAATGGGGAAAATGAAACTTATGTACACCAGTGAACCGTCAAAGCATTTCGATGACGGGGTCACATTCAGACACGTAAGTCCAACATACGTATATCAGCAAAAGCTATGTAGCGTATTGCATAATATCTGTAATAACAAACGAAGTTGAATAATCCTATATACCTATTATATTATTATTATTTTTCCCTTGGGTTGCTAGTTGAACATAGGGCTTCAGTAGCACGCCTTCATTTTACTCTCTTCTCTACAGTCGTTTGTACCTCACTCTATGACTGCCCACAAACTTTCGTTTCTTCCTCACATCATCTCCTCCATGTCACCCTCGACTCTGTCGCCCAACTTGTCGCTTCCCATTTGGATTCCACTCGAGCAACTGGCCTGGCGCGTGATGTCTCCAATCAGCCTTCTCAGTGTAGGCCCAATCCATCTCCACTTTCTTCCTCTGCATATTTGTTATGTGATAGGTTATTGGTTGGTTCGTTGTCAGAGTTCCTTGTTGTTTATTCTTTCTACTACCCTTGTCATCACAAAGAAGGAGAGAACATTAGAACTATTGATATCAATTCTGTCTCAAAGTTGTCGAGTTAGTTACCTGATATGAATATGGACAATAAATTGTGTCAGAAACATTGTTATCTAGTAAACGATACTGTCTCTTTACTGTGTGTGACATTTCTAATAAACAGACTAAAATGGAATTACGATCTATCATGGTGTCCAAGTTTTACTCCTACACTGATGATTACTTATATTATCTGGTCGTTGACTGAACCGATTTGACCGGTCTCTACTGGCACATAGGTTCCTAGGCGGATGCCTCGATATTGCCCGTCGTTTCAGTTTTATAATTACAACTGACAGTGGATAGAAGTGCGATCTAAGACGCATATTTCTTCCTACTTGAGACTCGTCAGCTGAGTGATCTTGTTCCCACTAAGACTTGAACGCAGGATTAGCTCTGGCATTTGAAATGATCGGTCGCGGGTTCGAGTCTCAGTAGGAACAATAACGCTCACTAGAAGGCAGGTACACATCCAGCTGACAAGTTCCAATCAGGATGGAACGCGAGCCCTGGATCTCACTGCTGACCACTATACACCATTACTAATTCTCGATAATATCCTATAATTTAGTACTTAAGATAATACAAATGCCTTCTATCGACTCAAAGCTTCCAATCAATCTGTCAAGATGATTAATGATCTAATTCCACAAAAACATAGGTTCAATCAGGATCAGAGAATTCCTAGATGCTTGGCATTTACGTCAGTCAGTAATCAATAGATATATAGACACAGACCTAATCTATCAACCAATGAGAAGAGTGATAAACGACAGAAAGGTCAGAGGTCAAACAGACGAACAGCCAAAAGGGAAATCTATATAATCTGTCACTGACACAACCGTCAAAGGAAACAACCAATCACGAACCACATCGTCAGGGTAAGCTACTAAGTCACTCATGGAGAGATATTGAAAGCTTGCTACTTCATACTGAAATCAATGCTGATGATGTCGTCTAGCGAGAAGATGAAAGTTTTACAACTAAATAACCCAGCTCAAAAAATACAATCAAGATTATCCACTTGAGTTACAAATATTCTTCATCATTTCGACCAAGATTTGTATTCTTCAGGAAGACAGTGAAGGTCCTTACTACCTGGTTACTTAAATCTTAGGAGATGAAGATGGGAGGTGGGGGGGTTGGTGGAACTAGTAAAATCATAGAATTTTATATTATTCGAAAATACAATGAAGAAAAAGTTCACTTTTTTTTTGAAAAAAAAATGTGTTCATAAATCACCAGTATAGAATAAAACTTGCCTTCATCATTCATAATTTGTTGTCGAAGAGCATTACTAGTAGCATCTATCATACGTATTAATCGGGAGAAAAAGATCACTTCACGACAATCTGGAAACTCAGATGATAATGAAGTTTTATAGATATTCGATTGATCATCAGTATGAATAGATTGTTGTTCATTTATATCAGATGGATAAATATTTGTATTCGATTTATCAAATGATGATGTATTTAAAAAACCATGCTGATAATAATAAAAGCCTTTACGACACTCTTGACAGATATACAAAGATCTTTCAAGGTATAAACGTCGAACTAAAGGTTCCCATGTTTCATGAATCTATCCAATATGGAAATTAAAAGTTTAATAATAATGGAATAGATGATTGAATTAATATTTTGTATACTTTTTAACGCAAAGTACACAAGTATAGTGTTAGTTGATAATAAGTGAGGACTCATTATAGAATATATGACGTTTGCTTAGAGATCATTTCACCTACTTGAGGAGTTGCATCACCTTAAACAGCCTAGTTACTGACAAAATCTCAGCTCGGATACAAAAGTCTATATGATAATTGAATTTTGCGGGAGTTATGGGGATTTGGAAATATTTCAAAGCCTGATGGTCACGATAACATTGGGTGGAGGTTGCGCTATATCGTGAGCTAACAGAAGTTGGAAATATGGACCATTGGATTCTGGCTAGCTCAATGGTAACGTGCTGGCCATGGAACCTGAAGGTCGTGGGTTTGATTCCTGGCTGGCGGGGTCGTAGGTGAGCACTACTGAGGAGTCCCATTTTAGTTGGACGAAACAGCTGTCCAGTTCTCCCAGGTTTCCATTGTTCATCTAACTGATATCAGTCTATGATGAATAACAACTATATGATAATTGCCAATTTGTATCATCGCTGGTACCAACTGGCGAAATATCCGTCTATCTTACAAACGATGAGTATACTGAGCTGTATATCCGTTAAAAGTGAAAAACACCAAGTGGCTACAAGGTTTTCATCACAGGTGTCTTAGTAGTATTACTTGTACCTCGTAAAGGTTAAGCGAAGATTACTAGGCAAAACAGGTTGATGAAGTTGCAAACTTTCATCGACTGAGATGACTTGGGTATACACTGAGCAAACCAAACCGCTGCCACTTACTTCGACATAACATGCTAGGCGAAGTTGAATTATTTTAAGTTGGTATTCATCGTAGGCTGACATCAGATTGAGGAACGATGGGAACCATGACCCCATCATGGTTGAAAGAGGACTGAGGGTGGCCAGAACAAGAAGTGGCACCAGTCCCTGACAGTTGATTTCAGTCATATATGGAGATACAGACTGCCTGGTTTGGGTCCATGAAACGATAGGAACCAGTGGTTAAAAACTGACTGCTGCTAACATGGCAGAAAATCAATTAAAATGGTGCAGATGTATTCACTCTTTGACATCTGAAGCTTGAATATTTATATACTAGCCTTCATCTTCAAACTGCTTGTTCTCTCAAACTACTTTGTCGATTTTGATGTCACTTTTTTCTATCCAGATAACAGCGGATATGCTCTCACCACTAATGAAGAAAGTTTGGAAGGAAGGTAGGGTACCTGCAGATTGGAAGAAGGGCTACCTTGTCAAACTCCCAAGCAAAGGAAACCTGAGTCTTTGAGGGGAATCATATTGCTGTCCACCCCAAGAAAAATATTATGCCGCATCATCCTGGAGAGACTAAACAATGCGCTGGATTCAAAATTACCACCGGAACAGGCTGGCTGGATTAAGGAAGAACAAATCATGTGCGGATCAAATTGCAACGCTCAGCAACACCATAAAACAGAGTACAGAATGGCAGTCGACTCTCTACCTCAACTTTATCGACTTTGAAAAGGCCTTCGACAGCATCAACCGAGAAGTAATTTCGCAGTTGCTTCAAAACTACGGAGTATCACAAATCTTTATCAATCTCACTCAACAGCTATATGAAGACGCCACATGACAAGTGATTCACAATGGAAAGCTCAGTGAAGCCTTTGAAGTGAAGTGAAGACAGGAGTAGAACAAGGCTGCCGCCTACTATCACCTATGATATTCCTGATTGTAGTCAACTGGACTGGATCATGCAGCGAACCGTGAGGAACAAGAAGATGGGCATATGCTGTTTAATCGATGAAAAGAGCCCAGAAGATTTGGATTTCGCCGATCATGATTTATGTTTAGTATCGCACAAACTGGAAGATCTACAGGCGAAAACTAACAAGTTGGCAGAAGAGGCGAGCCAATGCAGCGACGATGGGACTTCCTTTAGATGAACGTAGAAAAGACAGAGGTGATGAAGATACCCAACAAACAACAGCATCAATAACAAGCTCCAATCGCCATCAACGGGAGAAACCTAAAGGAAGTTGTCTCTTTTATCTTCCTACCTACATAGGCAGCATCCTTTCAACTACACGCGGCACAGCCACACATGACGATGTCAAAGCAGCCAGGATCGGGAAGACAGCACGACTGGCTTTCATAACTTTGAAATCACTGTGGAGATCTACTGCACTCAGCACAAAAAACAATATCCAGATTTTCAACACCAATGTCAGGTCAGTGCTCCTATATGCTTCAGAAACTTAGCGTGTCATGAAAAGCATTTCCAACAAACTACAGACATTCATCAAAAAAAGCCACCTATGCCCACTCGATACTGAAGATCAGATCAGAAGGCCAGAAAGGATAAGCAAGAAGGAACTCACTGTGGTTGGCAACGAAACAACCAACTAAGAAGCTATCGCCCAACAAATGCAGAAGGATAGTGGAGATGGATTGGATTGGACATACACTGAAAAGAACATATGAGGACATCACCTGCCAGGCCAGGCTTTCGAGTGGAACCTAAATGGGAAACGATGAGTTGGTCGTCCGAGGGTGACACGGAGGAGATGGTATGAGGGAGAAGTGAAAGCTTCTGGGCAGTGGTGGAGCCAGGTTAACGAGACTGCAGAGAACAGAGTGAAATGAGGATGTGCTACTGAAGCCCTATGCTCCACTAGGAACCCAAAGGACAAATAATAATAATGTGCAACGGGATTTTAGAAATTTTACGTTTAAAGCTCATAGTTTAAGTACTTTAGGGTAAATCTTAAGCGTAATAGCTACACGAAAATTGAATAACACCGAAAACTACTGACGGTTTACAGCATGTTTCGAGGTACGATTTATGTAGCGTGATGGATACATCAGTGGTCATTATCTTATTCAAATATTTGTACTGGGTGATGAATGAAGGTAAAATGAACATTTGGACTGCAGCCAGATTAGAATCAGAGACCACCACCAGGTTTCCGGCCCAATACTCCACCAATTGACATAGTGGACCTCGTAGCTCACTTGATAATAAACCCGATGGTCGCTGGTTCGAATCCGGCCACGGTCAATTATCATCCAGTATAAATGTTAGTCTGCCAAGTCTACAGCTTTCTCAGATAGTCAAAATGATATTCATTCAAATTACTAATAAATTTCTTTATATATTGCGGTATTTTTAATCTATACGGCAACATAGTGGCTATCAGTAGCAAAGTAAAACAAAGGCACTTGGTCAGTGTACCGATAAATATTACCATTACAAAAATGTATTCAAAAAATGAATCTCCTCTATGCAACATACCATTTTATCAGTTACAGGTACATTACGAGACTGAAGATTGCGTCTAATTGTTGTTAAATCGTCTGGAGTGATATGTGCAGTAGGTTTCTATAAAAATTAAGTGAAATAAACATATTAACGTTAAACTTATTTCAAGTAACGATTAAAAAACAGAAGAGATAAAAAAACTTGATGAAATAGTCTAGGTGACTTTATTTATTTCAAGGTAGGGTTAGAGTACTGGACAGCTGTTTTATCCTAAGTACCAGACTTCTCAGCAGCAACGAACCCTGATCTCTTCAGTGACCAAACCCACGTTCAAGTGAAGACAATGTGAACCATCGGATTCTGACCCGGTGGCTCAATGGCACTATCCTCGATGCGAAACCCGAAAGTACTGGGTTCGAGCCCCGGATGGATCATAGGTGCGCACTGTTGAAGAGTATCATAGTAGGACGAGACAGGTGTTCAGTGCTCTCAGGTTTTCAGTGGTTCAACTGGTCCATCCATTCGTCCAAATCATTATACGGATAGGCAATACTGTGTAACGGTCCCACTTGACACACCTCATATCAGTACATCAAGTAAAAAGGCAGTCAAGCGGAAGATAAAGGAAACAAAATTCAGTCGAGAGAAATACAAAGTACTAAAAAAGAGTAAGGAAGAATAAGAAAATGGTGAGATTCGGTATAACCTCGTTAAGATGAGGATAATATGTGTATACATGTGCACCACTGACATCGGTTCTGGGCCACATAGGGTTCGTCTCCAACCACTGGTCTTTCTTGTCCCACGGACCTCAACCACCTAGTCTGAATCGCCCCACATGACTTAAACCAACAGTCAAACATTTCATATATTGGTACAGTGTTTAAGTCTGGCCGCCTCGGGGCTTCTTCTAGCTAGACAGATCAAATAGACAGAATGCTTCAGTTTTGCAAACACAATTCCATACTTACTGAACAACAAATGATATATGCAGAATAAAAAAAAACAGATATACTAACAATAAGATCGATTTTGAAGTAAAGTCAAACAAAAGGTGATAAAGACACCTATTCGTAGTTTTATCATCACTAAACACTATACATGAAGTATGAAAGATATGTTACAATAAGCAAAGGGATTTATTCGAAGCTAAAGATATGCTAGAATACAAAACGTACGAAAACTAAACTTTAGCATTTTACCAATAGATTATTCTATACTGCTCAAAAATAACATTAGGATAAGCGCCTAATTCATATCTGTGTTACATGGAGTTAACGACTATCTGGGTTAGCTGTGATTTGATAGACTTATAGTATTGATACCTGGTGATATGATTGAAGGTGAGATGAAAATTTGGAACCACCGATCACCAGGTTCCCGACCCGATGCTCTATCAACTGAACTAAGATGCTCGGCTGCTGACAAGATTTTTATTTCACTTTAGTCACCAAGAGTTTTTTTCCTGACTACCATGTGAATTCGTGATGTGTTACTACCACTTGATCATATTCATAGGACTTTTCATCCCAATCCAAATCTAAATTAATTAGAAAGAGGAGAGCAGCATGTTGATGAGAAGTTGTGACCGGTGGGGCAAATCTGGTGATATCGCTCTATGTTATAAAACTCACAGAAGTTGGAAATATGAACCACTGGATTCTGACCCAATGGCAACGTACTCGCTGAGAAACCTAGTGGAGACACAGGTGAGTACCATCGAAGAGTCTTATACTAGAACGAAACAGCTGTTCAGTGCTTCAAGGTTTCCAATGGTTCTCCCCTCTGACTAGTCTAAGTCACTGATTATCCCAGTCTTTAAGAAAGGCGAGAAGTCCTCTTGTGATAACCACAGAGGAATCAGCCTGACGAACATAGTGTCCAAAATCCTAGGTTCTATAATTTTTCGACGTCTAAGTGGAACTCCGGAACAACAAGCCCGAAAAACTCAGGCAAACTTTAGACCTGGTCACGGGTGTATTGACCAAACATTCACACTGCGCCAGGTCCTGGAACACAGACACACTTGCCGACTCCCGATGTATTTCTCGACCTGAAGTTGGCATTTGACTCCATTGATCGAGAAGTCTTATGGCAATGTCTCTCACTGAAAGGTGTGCCGAGTAAGTACATCACCTTATTGAAGGTTCCCTACTCGAACACTTGTGGGCATGTTAGAGCCTATGGTGAGTTGTCCAGGGATCTATACTGATCAAGTGGTGTGCGTCAAGGATGCCCACTGTCTCCATTCTTATTTAATTTTATCATAGATATTCTTATGGAGGTTTCCCTCTCGTCACCTTATTACATAGACGTTGACCTAATCACAGGAGAATTTTCGTTAGATCTAAAATATTCAGATGACATAGTTCTGTTAAGTGAAGACGCTGACAAGATGCAGAGTCTTCTGAACACTTTGAGTGGGAATTTGAAAATGTTTGGGATGCGATTTTCACCACCCAAATGCAAATTGTTGCTCCAGGATTAGTCTTCAACGGTGCCTTGGCTAACAATAGAGAGTGAAGGGGTCGAGTGTATCGACCACTTCACTTATCTGGGAAGTAGGATCAACCCTGGTGGGTCAGTGGCCGATGAAATCTCTGCACGGATACAAAAGGCTCGATTGACTTTTACCACTTTATGCCACCTATGACGCTGCCATGATATCCGTTTGTCTATTAAGGGTCGCGTGTACTGCACAGCAGTCCGCTCTGTTCTACTGTATGGCTGTGATGAAACATGGACATTGAAAGTGGAAGATATGAGAAGGCTTCAAGTGTTTGACCACTGTTGCCTTCGTAGTATAGGCTGTATTCCGTGGTGTCACCACGTGAGTAATGCAGAAATCAGTTACAGAGTTTTAGGGAGTAGAGGTAAGTTAGTTGACGAGGTTGTGAACCTTCATCGACTGAGATGGCTGGTTGGGACACGTACTACATATGCCTAGTCACCGATTGCCTCATCACACAATGTTGACCGAAGTAGGTTCAGGCTGGAAAGAGGCCCGAGGTGGCCAGACTAAAACATGGCACCAATGTATGAAGTCTCTGACTGTTGGTTTAAGCCATGTAGGACGATGCAGACTAGGTGGTTGGGGTCCACGGGACAAGAGGAACCAGTGGTTGGTGAATCTAGGTGATATGGCTCAGAACCGATATCATTGACGCAGATGTATACACACATTATCCTCATCTTAACAACGCTATACCGAATCTCACCATTTTGTCATTTTGTCCTTTCTCTCTTTTTGTACTTTATATTTCTTTTGACTGAATTTTCTTATCTTCATCTTTCACCTCACTATCTTTTAACTTGATGTACTAATATGAGGTATGTCAAGTGGGACCGTTACGCAGTAATGCCTGGTCCTACGTTGATATTTTTGTTGTTGTTGTTAATATCACTTCGTAATGAATATCAACAAATAAATTCATTAAACTTTATAACAGTATACATCTGAGTAGGTAGGTAGGTTTGATTTGGAGCAGTGGGCTATTGGAGAATAACAGAAAGAGTTTTTAGGTTGGAATTCATCGTGAACTGATATCAGGTGGAGGAACATTGGAAAGCTGGGAGCACTGGATAGTTGTTTCTTCCCAGTATGGGACTCTTCAGCAGTGCGCACCCACCACCCTGCCCTTCCAGGGATCGAACCCATGACCTTCGGGTTCCATGGCAAGCACGATACAATTGATCTAGCCACTAGGTCGGAATCTAATGGTCCATATTTTCTATTTCTGTCAGTTCATGATATAGCGCGACCTGCATTTAATATCGTTGTTGAGTAACTGTCCTCATGTTCAACCTGGTTGACTCCACTAGTCATGAATTCCCATTAGTTCACTGATGACGTGCTAGCCAGTGGAACCTGAAGGTCCTGGGTTAGATCCCTAGCGGGCAGGGTCATGTGTGCGCACTGCTGAGGAGTCCCATACTAGGACGAAACAGCTGTCCAGTGTTCCTCCACAAACCTTCAGATATAATAGAAAGAGAGTTAACAATTAGACAGATAGACAAAATCAAAGTAGAACTTCGCACACGCACACTACTGCATCGGTTCAAGTCACCACACTTCACAGGAGCATACAAAGAATAAGTGGATAGAATAAGGGTGATATTAAAGTAGACAAAGTTGTGTGAGAGAATTAAGAATTGGAAGATGAAGGTTAGTGCAAATATTACAGCTTTATGATATGTCAACTGAATACATCCGGGCCATTATGACCCAACCTTTAGATATGTCACCAACAGCCAGTGCTCAACCGATGGTTCTCATCATCTCGGGGACACCAGTCAGGTAGTCTACATCTCCCCACACGACTCAGACCAACAGTTAGCGACTTCATCGACTGGTGTTGCCATGTCTTCGTCTAATCACCCTTAATCCTCTTTCAACCTAGTCCAGCTTCACCTAGCAAGGGAGTGGTGGCTTGGCATGCGCAGTACATGTTCAAGCCAATCCAGTAGATTGGGTTTATAAGCTTATCATTCGAATTGGCTGTCTTGTCTAGTACCATTAGCCTAACCTCAACATTGCACACATGGGAATTCCACCACACGCGAGTAATGATACAACACACTGACTAAAAATACACAACACCTATTTCAAAGTAGGAAGACATTATGAAACTGTTGCTTAGATAAACAAGGCAGTTTTAGTTGTCAGGTTAATCACTACTCCACTACTGTAATGGGCGCTGCTGATCAAAATGGATATATGTTGAGAGGGTGTCAGAAATCATAGGGAATTACCAGTAATGGGTAAGGATTCTGCCCACAAAAACACCAAGAAACAATGTGGGTGTATTAAGAGTAAATCAAGATAGAAGCAGAAGAGGAAATGAAGCACACTGTGATAATGACTGATAGTGGAAAGTAAACAATATTTGATGACCACTGTACCTCCGTTCGCCTCAGTCTTCTTGTTCCCTACAATTGGTGTCACTGCTTCTGGACGTGATGACAATTCTGTGGCCTGTAGTGTTCGACAATGGAGACATCAAGGTCTTCCTCAACGATTTCGGGTTAGTCGTGCAGTTGGTGGGTGTCCGGGATCCCGGAACCAAGGTCATATTGCTTCGCACGTTCCTGAGGAATAGAGCGAAAGTGGCATATGAGTGTGGAACGCGTGGATGGGAAGGAGACTTGGAAGAAAATGGTTGAACGACTGGAGATGGAGTGTTACAGCCCAGTGGACAGGGAGCTGGTGATGCAGCAGTTCCATAGCACGAAACTTGGAATCAACGAAGACTCGGCTGTATTGGCTGTGAAGTTGACAAAACTACTTCGACGAGGACTTCCCACTTTGGATGACTCTGAGGCATAGTTGCTGGTTGCACAGTTCACCGAAAGTGTACCGAATGCCATCGCCGAGAGTCTACGACTAGTGAATGCAGCCTAAATCATTGATATTAGTGAGCCAGGGAAGGTGACCAGACAGGTGGTGGGTACAGGGGTAGCTGCGATGGAGTCACCAGAGTTCACTTTCCACTAAGTCAGTCATTTTCATAATGTGCTTCATTTCCTCTTCTGCTTCTATCTTGATTTATTCTTAATACACCCACATTGTCTCTTGGCATTTTTGTGGGCAGAATCCTTACCCATTACTGGTAATTCCCTATGATTTCTGACACCCTCTCAACATATACTACTTATATCCATTCTGATCAGCAGCGCGTACTACACTATGATACTGACTAAAGTTGCAAAGAAAACCTAGATTGCAGCAAATATCAAACTAAGAATTTCAGGAAATTAAACTAACATAATAAATTAAACATACTGGAAGTGATATCAATAAATTTTCAATTTCTTGAGCAGTTTGTAATCTGGCTTGTTCTTCCGCAGTACGTCTTTTCCAACGAGTCCATTGTTCGATCCGTCCGGGTCCGAAATTTGCAGCGATTGATTGGTTCACTAAGAAAACAAATAGGAAACAAGACTAAAGCGTGCATAAACGTATCGCAATATTATAAGAATCCTTTCGTTCAGATATCATGAAATATCAGTTTAACTAGAAAGTTGCGAACCGCTTGTTAGAAACTTTACAAGCGCTGGATTATCCTATAATAGTAACAACCTAACTCAACCCAGTGTATGTTTATATATGAAGTCATAAACCACACGTGTTATGCGAGGGCTTCTGATAATACCTAATTACCCAGGTTAAGGTATGAGGAGCGGGGTTCGAACTAACAACCCACTGCTTGAAAGTCGAGCTCTTAAGCCAACAAACTATTCATTTTCGAATTTCAAATAATGAATGCTAAAACAGTCAGCTTAAATACGATAAATTAACCAGATAACAGCTTAAAAGTGACCACTATAATGAAGTAGAGTGTACAACAAGTAATCGAGGTCAACTAGTCAAAAAATAAACATATAAATTGGATCCTACCAAGCAGATATCCAACTATCTCTTAAAGGAAGAGTATACAGCGCTGTAATTCCTTCTGTTCGGTTATATGGCTGTGAGAAAATCGTGGCTTTGGTCATAGGTATCTTCATAGCGTTGCTCGGGTTTGGTAGAATCAACATGTGAGCAATGTTGAAGTCGGGTGAAGGATACTAGGCAAGACATGCAAGTCGATTGATAAGATTGTGAGCCTTCATTGACTGGAATGGCTTGGATATGTGTTGCACATGCCGACCTACAGCTAACCTCAACATGTAATGCTAGAGGAAGCTGAATTAGGTTGGAATAAGGTTCAAGGTGGCCAGACCAAGTAGATGACTGTTAGTCTTAGTTGTGTGAGAAGATGTAGACTACCTGACTGAAGTTCCCAAGACGAAGGAATAAATAGGTGAGAACTTCTGGTGACATGGCTGAAAGTTCAGTCACAATGGTGCAGACGTGTTTACTTAGTCGACTAAAGTTCACAGCCTCATCAATTGACTGGCCTATCTTATCTAATACCTTTTGACTGACCTCAACATTTTCTCACACAGTGATTTCACCACATGCGAGCAATCCTGAGAAGATATCTGTGATTAAAACCGTGTTATCACTTCATGTCTTTTACTTTTACTGGCCATGTCTAAGAATAGAACCGACTGCAACGCAGTATACTCATCCTTTTCTGGATAGTCGGATGTCTGGATTCTTTGATAAACATCTCCGTCAATAGCTGAATTCAAAGGAAACGTTCCCACCGAAAAATATATCTCCTAAATCCAGGCGTTAATTCATTATGGTCGGAGATAATGTTGAACTTATGAACTCTACAAACATCAGTCACATAAGTAGTTCACACAAAAAGTATATTATAGGCGGTGAAATAAAGTCCCAGACATTATTGAACAGTGAATTAGTTTAAAGTAACTTACCGTCTTTTAATCGAGCCTTAACAGCTTGTTCTAAAAGATCCACAGCCGCAGTCCATTGAGCTTTTGTGTGTACAGTATGATCATCTAAAGCATTGGACTGTATTACACGCTGAAAATTAAAGTGACACAACAATCAAAGGAAACAACCAATCATAGACCACTTCGTCAAGGCGAATTACTAAATCACTCATGGAGAGATATTGACAGCTCACTACTTCATACTGAAGTTAGTGCTGGTGATGATGTCGTCCAGAAAGATGACGAAAGCTTCACGATTAAACAACTCAGCTCAGAGAACACAATACAACCAAGACCATCCATCTGAGCTACAAATATTCTCCACTATTTCAAAGTATGCTCACTCACTCAGTCTATCCAGTTACAATTACAACAGTTCTATGGACAAAGATTTTTCAGTCCATACCTTTTTTTTCTCGGGAGGAAAGTTTCAGTCCAACTACTGCCTACAAGTTCCTGTTGGATCCGATTCGGATATAATAATAATAATAATAATAATAAGACTAATTGAAGTATGATAGTTAGGCACAGAAAGAATCCTTAGACATGAATTACCTTGACTATCATAGTTTCCCTATTGCTGGATAAGCGATCTGTATCATAAAACTCAGGAGATAAAGGTAAACCAGTCGGTATGATCAATGGGATATTTATCAAATCTGTGTGTAATATACAGATATGCACTAATCCCTCTCCTCCTATACAAATTTGTGTGTTTCGATGTCACTTTTTTTCTATCTACCCGTTCTTTGTATACTACTGTGAAGTATAGCAACTTGAACCGATGCACCACTTGTTTGCTGGGTTCTACGGTGACTTTGTCTTTCTATTTGTTAAACCTTTTCATTTGATGGCAGTATAGTAAAAGCACGTTTTAGTTATAAAAATTACTCGCTGAGAGCTTTATTCATAAAAACGCACAAATCCTATAAGACTGTAGTTCCACTTACGATGACCAAAATAAATTCAAACAGTCAAGGTCTTCCATCTCTTTTCTTATAGAATCTATGATTACAGGATCTCTAACTTTTCATTGACCACTCTCTTGTCTATAGATCTTTTAGTAGATATGAGGAATGTAATTGGGACAATTGAATGAAGAAACTGATAAGAAAGAGATTTCTGTTTAGCATTTCAGATGAAACAGACTGAACTGAAACAAAGTGATATGACTATTTAACTTTCTTTGGTAACTGAAACTGTACGAATATAGAAAGTCAGCAGATAATTTTCTAGCCTAGTCCAGTAGTAGTGTGTGTGTGTGTGTTTGTGTGTGTGAAATATTTCAATGTCCCTCAAATAACTAGCATAAACTGCTTTCCTTTTATACAGTTGTAAAGTATGATCATTGAAGATTGATAGTGTGAAGTTATACTGATAACCTTCTGAGTAGGTAGCGTTACATAACACAATTGATGCATTTAATCAGTTAGTGAACCAACATTGACTATAGTAGATGGTTTATGTCATATACAAACCAAAAACAATCCTACACTGAACTGCTTGCTAGTTTTTAATCAAAATGAACTACTTATGTTGATCGCAAGATGTATTCATGATTCGTAATCAACTGAAGCCAAGTAAATTCATTTCCTGTGCCACTTTCAGTTAAACAACAGTGAACACTTTGTATAGTGATGTATTAATCTGCTATCGTCATTTCACTGTATCAGATTGTTCTTCTTTTCGATGTTTAATGACAAGACCATAAAAAAGTTTATTGTATGTTCACTTGTATGTTCCTTCATGTGAAGGAAACTTAGTCATCGAAGAGGAAAAATAAAGGAAAAGATGGGCTGACCGCTTGAAAAAAAACTCCTAAATCAAACACCACCACCACCTGTAACTCGTTCAGTAATACCACAAGCAGCCCAGTTACAGAAATATCAGTGAAAACAACCTCTCCGACAGAAGTCAAAGTCCTGAAGGCTATGAAGTTACTAATCATTGAGGAAGCAGCAGGACCAGATGGAATTCCTTCGAAAGCACTAAAAATAGACGTGAGACAACAGCGGAAGGAAGAGAAATTACCTGCCGAGTGGAAGAAGGGCCACCTTGTCAAAATCCCAAGGAAGGGAGACTTAAGTGTTTGGAAGAACTGAGGAGGAATCGTACTCTACCCCTGTCAACCCCAGAGAAAATATTACACCGCATCATCCTGGAGAGACTAAAAAATGCTCTCCATTCAAAATTATGACCGGAACAGGCTGGCCGGTTTCAGGAACAATAAATCATGTGCGGACGAAATTGCAACGTTATGCACAATCATAGAACAGAGTATAGAATGTCAGAATGGCAACTTTTCACCTCAACTTCACCGACTTCGAAAAGGCCTTCGACAGCGTCAACCGAGAAGTAATTTGGAAACTGCTTCAACACTAGGGTTTCAGTGCCACAGACCTTTATCAACCTCATTCAACAACAGCTGCATGATGGTGATGATGTTGCGTGCCAAGTAATTCACAATGTTAAGCTCAGTGATGCCTTCGAAGTGAAGTGAAGACAGGAGATGGACAAGGTTGCCGCCTACTATCACCGATCATCTTCCTGATTGTGGTCAAGTAAACTGGTTTGGATTGGATAATGCAAGAAACTGTGGGGAGCTATGAGAAGGCGGGAGTACGGTGTTTGGTCGATGAAAACATCCTAGAAGGTTTGAATTTCATTGACGAATTACGTCTAATGTCGCAAAAGCTCGAAAACTAACAAGTCGGCAGAAGAGGAGAGATGAGACGAGGCAGCAAAGACGCAACTTCCTTCAGATGAACGTAGAGAAGACACTGGTGATGAAGACACCCAACCAACAACAACAAGTACCAATCACCATGAACCGGAGAAATCTGAAGGAAGTTGTCTCTTTCACCTACCTACCTACCTACCTAGACAGCATCGTTTCAACTACAGGCGGTGGCACAGATGAGGATGTCAATGCAGCCAGGATCTGAAAGACAAACATTTTCGCCTCACCACATGACCCACTATTTAAAATGTGCCTATGTCAAACTCGATTAACAAGAGATTAGACAGATGCCATAATTAGGCAACTCCATAGTATGTACTAGGCACGCAGTATCAAATTGTCTTCACGCTTAAAGATATAATTTTCCCAAATAGCTACAACATGGATTATGCTCTGGTCACTCTTGCCCAGCAAACGTCCTGATAGCAGAAAAAGAATGGGCAGCAGCTAGGAAAAACAGACTGCTCATAGATGCCATGCTCATTGAATTCAGTAAGGCATTTGATGAGGTTTCGAACACTGATATGATAGAGAAGCTCCACAGTTTCAGATTTCATAGGAGGATGCAGATCTTGATTAAAAGGTTTCTTTTTCACAGATTATAAAGTATGCGAGTGAGTGTAATACTCTATGAGTACTGGGGCTATGCAAAGAGCAATAGTGTGATGTTTCCTTGCTCCTCTTAAACGAAGTCCCAAATAAGACAAAGTCACCGGTGTTACTACTTACGATGACGTGAAAACTTAGCAGGTAATCCATAAATATGCATACAAATGTGCATTAAAAATGGAACCAGATGAAGTAATCAGTTGATTCAAGCTTTTGTGCTTAGCAACAGATTCTCGTAAATGTGCAGCTATGCATATTGGTTATAACAGTTATCATCAGTATTTACCAGATGGGACAGCAGTACCTAACGTCCAACGTAAAAAGAGAGTAGAAATGACCGTTACCCATTGCTAGAAGACGTCCGTAAATTATGTTTCAGCTCCTGTAGGGGATTTTAAGGTATTCTAACACCATTCCAGAGCATTTAAATACTTCGAGGAACACATGATTTGAATATTGCTTTCCAACTTTGCGCAACCCTACATTGAACATTGCATTCAGGTAATAACTTCCTGCTTCAAAAAACATAAGAAGGCGCTGAGGCACTTTCAAAGACTCACCAAGATAGTGATTTATTCGACTAAGTCACCCTAACCAGTGTGATCAAATAAGCCCAAGCCTACGTTTCTCACACAGAGTGGTCAACGTCTGGAACTTCCTAACCGAACACGGAGCATCCGCTTCTTAGTTGAACTTATCCAAACAGAAGCTGAATCTTCGCAGTGGGACTAACTGGAAGCATCATCAATAAGTAAATGGGATTATTGCATTTGTTATTCAAGTCTTCAGCGACCAAAAACGGTCACATTCCTATACTTGCACCACTGATGTTGATAATTATAACGATACTAAAAACAATATTATGTATATTTATTATATTCCGAACCATAATTTTGTCTGAAGAATTCTCAGGATGTGATGTTGAATCAGTTAAATCCTTGCGCAACATTTTTCAAATGCATATTACTACCAGTGCTGACGTTCAACTATATATAACAGAGAACAACGGATCGTCGAAGTGTTTGATGACTTCAGGCTCATGATAACTATTCTCTTCTGCATAGTTCGTTCATAATACTAGGTCTAACATGATTTCCTTCAAATAATACACAAGTTAAATAAGGCGGTATCGTTGAATTTCTGTGTATGGTTGTGCGTGTATACAGCTTACTATATCTGTTTCCCATCTTCTCTGAAAACAGAGACATGGAGGAGGGTGTACATGCAGAGGATGCTTGTCATCAAAAACAATATTTGTAGCCTGAGCTATCTATAAGGGTCCAGGTGCCTATTCACGACTGCATTTCCTAATATGGTTAGCAGTGTACCACTCACTCTACTACCAACCTCAAAAATCCTACGGCTATACACCATAGTCTTTTACACGGAGTGCAGGGAAGAATAAGGCGAAAAAACAAACATAACATTATTGTATTATTTGTCCCTTGGGTTCCTAGTGGAACATACCGCTTCAGTAGCATGTCTCCATCCCACTCTCTTCTCTGCAATCTTTTCAACCTGGCTCCACGACTGCTCAAAAGATCTCATTTCTTCCTCACATCATCTCCTCCATGTCACTCTCACCTCGGACGCCCAATCTGTCGTTTCCCATCTAGGTTCCACTCAACTGCCTGGCCTGGCGCATGATGTCCCCAGTCGGCCCTCTCAGTGTATGCCCAACACAGTCCATCTCCACTTCCTTCTGCATATTTGTTGGGTGATAGGTTCTTAGTTGGTTCGTTGCCCGGCCAGAGTGCGTTCCTTCTTGCTTATTCTTTCTGCCCATCTGATCTTCAATATCGAGTGATCGTAGGCGGCAGCTATTCATGTGTATCTGTAGTTTGTTGGAGATCCCTTTGGTAACGCGTCAAGTTTCTCAACCACCATATAGAAGCACTGACTTACTTGACTGAATTTGTGTTGAAAATCCAGATCTTGTTCATGCTTTATGCTGAGTGCTGTAGATTGTCACATTGGTTTCAGGTTAATGAACGCCTGTTTTACTTTTCCGATCCTGGCTGCCTTGACGTCCTCGTCTGTGCCTGTGCCTGTACTTGTGCCTGTGACGCCTGTAGTTGAAACAATGCTGCCTAGGAAGGTGGGTGAAAGAGGCTACTTCCTTTAAGTTTCCTCCGTAGATGGTGATTGGAGCTTGTTGTTGTTGGCGGTGGTGGCGGTGGTGGCGTTGGTTGGGTATCATCATCACCTCTGTCTTCTCTATATTCACTTGAAGTCCCATCTTCGCTGCCCTGCATCTTCTGTCAACTTGTTAGTTTTCTCCCGTAGATGTTCAAGTTTGTGTGACATTAGACACAAGTCATCGGCGAAATCCCAGTCTTCTGGGATCTTTTCCCCAGTCCAGGCAGCGTATCCCCCTCTTCTCGCTCCTTACTGTTTGTTGCATGATCCAGTCGACCACAATCAGTAAGATCACCGGTGATAGTAGACAGCCTTATCTTACTCCTGTCTTTACTTCACTTCGAAGGCATCACTGAGCTTAACATTGTGAATTACTTGGCACGCAACATCATCACCATCATGCAGCTGTTGTTGAATGAGGTTGATAAAGGTCTGTGGCACTGAAACCCTAGTGTTGAAGCAGTTTCCAAATTACTTCTCGGTTGACGCTGTCGAAGGCCTTTTCGAAGTCGGTGAAGTTGAGGTGAAAAGTTGCCATTCTGACATTCTATACTCTGTTCTATGATTGTGCATAACGTTGCAATTTCGTCCGCACATGATTTGTTCTTCCTGAATCCAGACAGCATGTTACGGTCGTAGTTTTGAATCCAGCGAATCCTTTAGTCTCTCCAGGATGATGCTGCTTAATATTTTGCTTGGGGTGAACAGCAGCATGATTCCCCGCCAGTTCTTGCAAAGACTTAGGTCGCCCTTCTTCGGAGAACAAAAAAGTATAGGCAAAACAAAGAAATTGATGAGAAGTAAGACTAGAGGCTGAATTATGCCAGATAGTCTAAATTTCCTAGTGTAAAAGGTAAAGAGGAAGATTTTCCTGGAAATTAGTAAGATATGAGGGACAAAGAAAGATTAGAAGAAAAGCTTCAGCCAAGATGGATCACGCTTGAAACATTCGATACAAAAGAGCTATCCATAAAACAATAATCATGGAACTACAGTGGTTCACATCCTAAGCTAAAATTATTCATTTGATATTTTCAGGGATAAAGTGTGGATCCATTCAAAGACGACTAGTGGCCAAATTCGGTTAAGAAGTTATTAAACTAGGAACAATTTGAGTGGAAATGATCAACATGGATAAGAAAATTATCTTTAGTTGAGGTAGGTAGGTCATGCAAAAGGCGAGACAGAAGAAAAGGGGAAAGAACAGCACTTTGGGCGATAGACACTACGTACCGAATTAGAACACTTCCCTCAGGATACAGTGGTGATTAGAAAATAAGAGTATTCAAAAATCAAATTTTAGCTATAATTTAATTGATAGTTAATATTAGGTGATGACTGAAGGGGATGTAGGAATCTAGGTCACAGGAGGGCTCGAACTAGGGATCTCTAGATTACTGACCCAGTGACCTTTCAACTAAATTGTAAGACCTAGCTTCTGATTGGATCTTAGTATCAATAATGCAAGTCTGTTAAACCGTAGCTATCTCAAATCGTTAAAACTGATGATAGATAATGATTTATAAGAGTTCAAAGACAAACCTACCAATCGAGATTCAGCTTTTGGATCCCATTCATGACGTTTTCGAGTTTCTTGATGTACAGCATCTTTTAATCGATCAAAAAGTGGATCATAACCTGGTGCATTTTTTACTGTTTTTAATTTATTATCTAACTGATTGTATAAAGTTTGCCAACCAGCTTTTATAGAGTCTTTTGGTAAATTATTTTCAACCCAATCACGAAGCCATATATCAACATTTGTTTGAAAAGTTCTGAAAACCATAAACAAATCAAAACTAATTATCATATTATTTAACAGAAAAAACTAATAAGGAAATGTATAATCTTATCTAAACTGACGATAAATTCCTGGAATACCGTTTATCAACAGGTTAGTTGAAGTATTATATATATCCCGAAGTGATATGTTTAGCTATAGATGATGAGGGTCGTCTCCCATCAGCGTTTGGGATGTGATGTAATCATTGATGCAGTGTTTAGATTCTTGGTGAAGCGTGTCTTTTGTTTGTTTTTTTCCCCCACAGTGATAAGATTCGCCGTGTAATATGTTTTCTTAATGGCTGATGTTGTCAGCCTACATCTCAAAATGATACTGTTCAACTCCTCTCTGTATAGTAGAGTGATATGGATGCTTTCCTAAGGAATCCTGTATATAGTTGGCTTTGATGCTACTTGACCTCTACAACGGTTTATAAACTTCATCAGATATCCATTTTTCATAAGTGCTTTGATCAGCCTAGATATCAGACACATCATTGACAAAAAGATGTCGACTGGATACCAGTGACATCATTAAGACCCTAAAATTTCTCTTACGTTAGCTACTATGGGCGAAATTGGCGAAGCCGTAGCAACACTGTTAGTTTGCCTGTATAGTTTTCCTTTATATTGTGAAATAAGTACTGTCTAAGCAGGATTTTAGCGCTTTGATAGTGTCACTGGTATCCAGTCGACATCTTTTTGTCAATGACGTGTCTAAGTCTAATAAATTAGAAATAATATTCAGGCTATCATTAATTGGAATACCAGTATAATGAAGAATTGATGCCATAGCTTACCATAATTGTATCTTGCTTAATCGTAAGTGATATTTAAATGTCATATATTGAAAATCTGGCTGATGATCTAATGGCTAAAGTTCCTCTTTACAAGAGATATGTTGATGACATCATAGTGATTTGTGAGAGACATGAGGATATGGCTTGTCTACTAAATAGATATAATGCCGAACACACACACACACACATCAGCCTGACTTGTGTGAAAGAGGATAATAATCAACTGCCATTTTTAAATATACTCCTAAGTCGACGAGAAGATGGTTCAATAAGGTGGTCAGTTTACAGAAAGCCTACATGGACAGGACAATACCTGAATTTCCACAGTTTTGTCCAATCTAATACAAGCGAGGTCTCATAAAATACCTATTGAATAGGATTTATCGTATCAGTACACAAGATACGATGGATGAAGACATTAAATTACTGACCGAAGTATTTATGGAAAATAGATATCCGATAAAGTTTATAAACCGTTGTAGAGGTCAAGTAGCATCAAAGCCAACTGTATACAGGATTCCTTAGGAAAGCGTCCATATCACTCTACTATACAGAGAGGAGTTGAACAGTATCATTTTGAGATGTAGGCTGACAACATCAGCCATTAAGAAAACATATTACACGGCGAATCTTATCACTGTGGAAAAAAACAAGGAAAATACTTCATTGAAAACCTAAACACTGCATCAACGATTACATCCCATCCCATTGTGTTTACGAATTTATATATATGCGTGTGATCACACGTATATAGAGAGTAGTCTAGCCATGCAATTGAGGGTTGGAGAAAATGGCTTCAAAAACAAATCGAGTGTAAAACAATATTATTTACTGGACTATGTTACGGACACAATTTACCGCCCATAGTTGTATCAACAAGACTTTATGTCTCCTAATTGGACATCGATGGAAGCAGCCACTATGGACTTTTGAGACCTTTGATTTTGTTCAACCTCGCCATTAGCATAGGATCTTTCATATATAGCTTGACTGGGAGGTATATAAGATCTGGAGTCATAGGTATAAGTTGTAGAATTTGAAGAATAGTTCAATATATAAGAGAAGTTAGGGAGATGATAAATTGCTATGTGAGGTTTCCTCATAATCAGATGAGTTGGATCACAACTCTTTATGACATGAACTGGTGAAACTGGACACAAAGCTGCTGCACTATCTACCATATGAATAGGTTCTTTGGTATTCTGGATGCGACACATTGACTTGAAAAGCCCGATCATGATAGTAAACTGGTGCAGTGTTGGTGTTGATCCCTTCAACAGATGGTGCAAAAAAGTTGAAGCAGTGATCTAAGTATTTCGATCAAATAGCTGATCTTGAATTAATTTGTATCATCAACACGAACAAAGCGATAGTCATCGTTGAAATTCCTTAGTGTGCAGAATGTTAGCAGAACAATAATTTGACACAGTTCGATAGATGACAGACGCTTAAAACACACAGAATCTGACCACTTATCTTGGTTGTATCCGAAACGTAATCCCTTGAATAATACTGCCCCACTGTTTGTGACACCTAATAGATTAATTGAGATGTTAAAGTAATGCATATCAGCAGTTTGTTCACAAAGGATTTTATTATTATTATTTGTCCTTTGGGTTTCTAGTGAAACATAGGGCTTCAGTACCACGTTACCATTTCACTCTATTCTCTCCAGTCTTCTCAACTTGGCTCCACCACTGCCCAGAAGCTTACATTTCTTTCTCACACCATCTCCTCCATGTCACCCTCGCCTCGGACAACCAACTTGTCATTTCTCACTTGGGTTCCCCTTGACGGCCGGGCCTGGCAGGTGATGTCCTCAAAGGGTTTTCTCAGTGTATGTCCAATCCAATCCATCTGCACCCTCTTCTTCTGCATAATTTGTTGGGTGATAGGTTCATGGTTGGTTTTTGCCAGAGTGAGTTCCTTATTGCTTATTATTTCTGGCCACCTGATCTTCAGCATCGAGTGAGCATAGGCGGCAGCTGTTGATGTTGGAAATGCTTTTCGTAACGCACCAAGTCTCTCAACCATCACATAGAAGCACTGACTTACTTGAGTGACTTAGTGTTGAAAATCCGGATCTTGTTCACGCGTTATGCCGAGGGCAGTGCAGTAGATCTCCACACTGATGACTGCAGATTAATGAAGGCCTGTCTTCCTGTCCTTCCGATCCTGGCTGCTTTGACATTTTCATGTGTCCCTGTGTCTCCTGTAGTTGAAACGATGCTGCCTAGGTAGGTAGGTAGGTAGGTAGGTAGGTAGGTAGGTAGGTAGGTAGGTAGGTAGGTAGGTAGGTAGGTAGGTAGGTAGGTAGGTAGGTAGGTAGGTAGGTAGGTAGGTAGGTAGGTAGGTAGGTAGGTAGGTAGGTAGGTAGGTAGGTAGGTAGGTAGGTAGGTAGGTAGGTAGGTAGGTAGGTAGGTAGGTAGGTAGGTAGGTAGGACAACCCTTTGGCGTTTAAGGCGATGGATACGAGATTCGAGTCCCAGTGAGGAGAATATCACTCACTGGGTTGCAGGTACGTTCAGCTGAAGAGTTTCAAATAAGACGAAATGCACATCATGGATTCTCCTGCTAGCCACAACTAACTAAATTACTATAAATGATCCATAATCGATGATATAGTACAATTCAATCAGTTGTCATAAACCATTAATTAACTGTACTATTATCCAATTCCAACTGTTTAGAATAAAATAATGTTAAGATAAATGATTAGTATGGGGGAAAAAAAGGTTTTTTCTAAAAAAAGTACTCAACAACATTACCCTAGATTATCAATACGCTGTGAAGGTTCAATTATATTACTGAATATATAATCTTTTAATTTATTCCATAATTCTGAACGAATATTTTTCTCCCAAACAGTTGAACTGATATCATTTAATGAGATCAAATCATCTAGGATATTGTTACGCGCTTTTTCAAATAATTCTTCACGATCCATTTCACGTAAATGTGGAAAAGAATTTTTCCATTCAGTTTCAAGATTATAACGAATAGCTAGAAGAAGAAAAAAAAATTATATTTGGTTTTAAATTTTGAGGGGGTTGTGGAGATTTGGAAATATTTCAAGTTGTTATTCATCGAAGACTGACATCAGTTGGAGGAACAAAGGAAACCTGGGAGCACTGGACAACTGATGTCAGTCTTCGATGAATAACAACTTGAAATATTTCCAAATCTCCACAACTCCCTCAAAATCTAGTTGAACTAGTGCTCGTTGGTGACTAGCTTCGAGAAGTATTCCCGAAGTTCCAATGACAAGTCGTGACCGGTGGAGTCAAAGCCTGATGGTCGTGAGGACAAATACTCAACGATGACATTGGGTGGCGGTTTGCGCTATATCGTGAGCTAACAGAAGTTGGAAATATGAAGCATTGGATTCTGATCCAGTGGCTCAATGGTAACGCGCTGGCCGCGGAACCTGAAGGTCGCGGGTTCGATCCCTGCTGGTGGGGTCGTGGGTGCGCACTGCTGAGCAGTCCCATACTAGTTGGACGAAACAGCTGTCCAGTGCTCCCAGGTTTCCTTTGTTCCTCCAACTGATGTCAGTCTTCGATGAATAACAACTTGATATATTTGGTTTTGATGAATACAATTTTGAAAGTAGTTAATTAAAACAAATAAGAATATGTATAAATATTGAAAAAAAAGTCTTAAAATGACACTATAGAATACTTTAGTTTCTTTAAAAACGAAATCCATTCAGCAACTTTAGTTGACTTAGTTGATCACTTTACTTTAGATTAGCCCTGATGGGTCAGTAGTTCGAAGAAATCTCTATATGAATACAAAAGGTTCCATTAACTTTTGCTAACTTAGGTCATCTAAGGATTCCCCTGACATATCCGATTGCCGCTTGAAGATTGAATGAACTGTGTTGTAGTTCACTCTATTCTTCTGTATGGCTATGAAGCGTTGCCATTATCGACTCAGATAACTGAAAAATTGTGTCCAGTATGCCTAGTCACCGTCTGCATCAGTGAGTCGAATCTGTGACCGTTGATTTGAGCTGTATATGAAGATGCAAATCCACCTTCTTCTCTTTTACTGGATTCTACATTCTTCAACCGATTTTTATTTCGTTTTTCATCTGTCATCTTACTACTTTGTTACTTGTTGTACTTATAATGAGGTGTGGCGACTTGAAGCATTGTTGTACAGTAATGACTGGTCCTATATCGATATTGATCAGCTGATTGAGTAAGCAATGAGCAAAATTTACTGTTTGAGGGCTAGTGATAATACCTATCTACTTAATCCTTGGTAGGTGAAATGGCGTTCGGACCCATGACCTATTGGTTGAAAGTCATCTCTCTAAACTAATGAACTACAGCTCCACAGTTTAGCTTTATACTAATCTCTATCAACACACTTTGCTACAGAACGCAGATGCATTTTAATTTAACAGTTTGTGTTGCATGTAACAACAGATCACCGACAGCGCTTCCGATAATCTCGCCTGGTTAACTAGTTCACTAGTTACTACCCGGACCGAAGCCCAGGTAAAGAGGGAAGGTTGGGCATACGGCTACCAACCCTACCCCGTAAAACCAATCCAACCGCTACAGAAACTTCAAAGCACAGACAGAATATAAAAAATAAAAACAGAATTATTCCTTGTTGGAATCGGAGAGACGAAATGACGCCGGTTGCTGAAAGCCTTCGGAAAGCCAATTGGCCGATGTGTCTTCTCTCGACGAAAACGAAAGTAAACGTGTCCGCACTGTGTTTGAACCTAGCAAGACTGTCCAGATTGCAAAAGAGATAAGAAGGGATAGAGACTTGGCGCGTTATGAAAAGCATTTAAAACAAACTACAGACATTCATCAACAACTGTCTACACTGGCTCGTTACTGAAGCTCAGATGGCCAGCTAGAATAAGCAAGAAGGAACTCTGGCTAGCAACGAACCAACTAAGAACCTATCACCCAACAAATATACAGAAGGAAGTGGAGATGGACTGTATTGGGCATACACTGAGAAGGCCGACTGGGGACATCATGCGCCAGGCCAGGCAGTTGAGTGGAACCCAGATGTGGAACGACAGATTGGGCGTTCGAGTTGAGGGTGACATGGAGGAGATGATGTGAAGAAGAAATGAGAGCTTGTGGGCTGTCGTGGAGCCAGATTGAAAAGGTTGCAGAGAAGAGAGTGGGATGGGGACGTGCTGCTGAAACGGTATTTTCCACTAGGAACCCAAGGGAAAAATTATATATATGTATATATATATATATATATATATATATATATATATATATATATATATATATATATATATATATATATATATATATATATATATAGTGCTTCCGATGGCATTGTTGAACAGCAAAAGTTCAAATTTCCTTCTGGGACACAAGTTTCACTAACTGCACCTTAATTTTATTGTCTAAATAGCGACAATACGATTTCAGTGAGTAAGAGCGATATTACTTATGGCTTATAATCGTCGTTAATAGAGTTTATGCTGTAGTCCCAAAGGAACTTGTATTTTTAGAAGGTAAGTAAGGAGGGGCTTTTGACTACATTTCCTGAAACTGCTTCTATGATTCCTTTTTTGTCTTCATTCTTCTCATTCCTTTCGATATTTTCATAATATTATCACTACTGTGTATAACATACTTTTCCATCTCCGTATACTCACTTTGTGTATTAAATAGTCAATCCAACGGTCATATAAGCCTGATCTTTGTATGTTCAAAACAGACACATTCCATCCCTAATTTTACACTGATCATAATCTCTCTGAGATATTTTATTTATTTCTCGGGTTACTATTTGCTTATTTATTGTAATCACTGGGTTGACTTTATAGTAGTTATCACCTAATCATCATTTTTCTAGCCACTTTTTCGTTGGCTTCTACTACCAAGTGTGACAACTTTAACCGATGCACTTCTGTGCGAGGTTTTACGTTGGTTTTGTTTATCCGCAAGCCTCCTCACCTTCTATACGAACATTAGTTACAGACTAGGTATCACAACATATGCTATCCAATTTTATGAATTATTATTTATCCTTTGGGTTCCTAGTGGAGCATAGGACTTCACTAGCAACGTCATCATTTCACTCTGTTCTCTCCAGTCTTCTCAACATGACTCCACCACTGCCCACAACCTTCCATTTATTTCTCACACCATCTCCTCCATGTCACCATCGCCTCGGACGACTAACTCGTTGTTACCCATTCGGCTTCCACTAGACAGATTGGCCTGGCCTGGTGCATGGTGTCTCAAACCGTCCTCTCAGTGTATGCCCAATGCAATCCATCTCCACTTCCTTCTGCATATTTGTTGGGAGATAGCTTCTTGGTTGGTTGGTTCGTTGCCAGAGTGCTTTCCTTCTTGCTTATTCTTTCTGCCCATCTGATCTTCAGTATCGAGTGATCGTAGGCGGCAGATATTCATGTGTGTCTGTGGTTTGTTGGAAATGCCTTTCGTAACGTGCCAAGTCTCTCCAACCATCACATAGAAGCACTGACTTGAGTAATAATGGGTAATAGTAATGTAATGAAATGAAGAAATGAATGATCTAACAGGAAATACGAAGAACGATAGTCATCGGGTTTAAAATCTTATAAAGTAGGTGGTAGGAATAAATGTTCAAGCAAAGATGATACAACTAAGTTAAGAATATATCAACCCTACGATTGACGCCTTTAACTTAATGAAATAACAAAAAAAACTTTATCACTGAACATCAGCAAAGTGTCTGATCGTTAGTTAAACTCTATGGAAACTGGAAAGTTGTGGTTTAGTTGTTTAGGTAGATGACATTTGACTAGTGGGTCATAGGTTCGAACCCCGTTCAACCTACAGAGGCTTGGGCAGCCAGGTAGTATCAGTAGTCTTCATGCAATAGGTGTTTGGTTCATTGTCTACCTCAAGTAGTTGAGTGCGTTAACCTTATATCTCCAGCATTGAATCAAAAATCAAACATTGTGAATTAGAAAATAGAAAAAAACCGAAGAAGAGAATGAGAGACAAAATCGTTAGAAAATTGTTTGGCATTAATCGGTATTTAATGGTTAACCTGTGTTAAAAGAATACTCTTCTAACTTACCCCTATAAGTATCAGCTTGTTGTTCAACTGAATCTTTAACCATTTTCCAAAATCTCTCTGATACAGCTTTACTGAGATTAGCTGTTGTCATCTGAGACATACGTAGTGTTCCTTCTTTGAATAAACGAGAATGACGAAAGAAATTCTCTTCATATTCTTTAATACTTTCTATACTTTCATCTTTTGCACCTGATTTAATAAAGGGTGAATAATACAAGTTAGGAGAGAAAAAAAATGTAATCGAAAAACATACCTTTCCCAGTGACTACAGCAAAATAACCAAGTGCTTTCATAGGGAATAATTTACCCTCTAAAATTTGCCTGATCTATTAAATATAAATACATTGATGATATATATGAAATGGAAACTTACACGATCAGGATTATGTAGATTCGATTCAGCTAGATCTACTTTTGTAAGAACAAATATTGTTCGTTTTCCTGATGGATCTACAGATGATACTAAATCTGTCACATTGCTACGCTCTGCATCGATACTTCCATCTTGTATGATAAATGGATAGGAAAAAAAAATCATGAAATCAAGTAGATACGTATAAAGACTAATTAAGACATGTCTTAACTCTAATAACAATACTGAAATATGAATATCCTCTATTGCAAGTGAATTGTAGAGTACAGTCTGTCTTTAAACACCTCATTATTTTGTTCTTCCGATAAAGAAGATAGTGACTGACTAAAAGATGACAGAGGTGAATAATAAACAATAGTATCCCTCACTACATCTAGAAAGGCTTTGTAACAGCTTCATAACAATCGAAAATTCGAATTGAAACTAGCCTCAATAACCTAACTAAAGGGTAATGAATGTCATCGAAGGTAGCCTTCAGCCTGCTATTAAGGTAGAAATAGGGCAGAATATGAACTTCGGATGTTATGGATAGCAAATAAGCTAATTTACTGATTTTAAGTTGATGTTCATCATGAGCTGACATCAGTTAGAGAGCCATTTGAAATCTCGAAGCACTGGGCAGCTATTTCATTTAAGTATGCGACTCCTCAGTAGTGCGCACCCATGACGCTGTCAGCGATTGAACACATGACATTCTATGCTGAATATCAACCTGAATCGATCCACTATAAACTTGGAAAGAAATATTGGGACACCTAAATCAGTAGAAGAATGTGTTAACTACTCAATCGTATAGGGTAAGATTAAGTGCTGAAGTATGAGCAATAAGGTAAGGTGTTAGATGCTTTAAAGACTATCGCCTAATGTCACCAATAAATTATACAAGTTTATTCTATGAATACGATTTCGTGTGTGTGTGTGTATAGCAAGTTGACAAAGAATGGAAATGATAATGCTTAATGGTTTGGACACTCGATTTCGGACCAACTGTGTATAGATTCAAGCTTATATTGAATATGTTGGTAGCACTTTTAGTCATCATACTACAAGCATAATTTGAAAACCCATGTCCACAAACCTATACACAGCTACTGTGTCGTATCATCCAACTACTATAAATATATACACAATATACACAAGTTGTCTCGGTAACAGTTTTAACACGTGTAACAACCATCTAATAAAGTCACTGTTGGTAAGCACCTCAGATCATTACTGAAAAGACAGAAATGAAAAACAGTCTAGAATATGAATAAATGGAAGCAGCATGATGAAATACTTGAAGTATTATTCAGTATTGACTCTTTTTAAGGTGCAAAATAAGCGTAGATAATAGTATCCAGAGTGGATTAGGCTGCTTACTCCACTTCAAACACCTAGGAAATTGGTAGAAATATGATAGTTTAGACTGCTTTTTGGGTGAAGAACATTTAGCAACAACTTATATGGGAAGTAATAACATAAACCTTTATCAATCTCATTCAACAACTATATGAAGACACCACATGCCAAGTAATTCACAATGTTAAGCTCAGTGATGCCTTCGAAGTGAAGTAAAGACAGGAGTAAGATAAGGCTGTCTACTATCACTGGTGATCTTACTGATTGTGGTCGACTGGATCATGCAACAAACAGTGAAGAGCGAGAAGACGGACATACGCTGGACTGGGGAAAAGATCCCAGAAGATTGGAATTTCGCCGATGACTTGTGTCTAATGTCACACAAACTTGAACATCTACGGGAGAAAACTAACAAGTTGACAGAAGATGCAGGGCAGCGAAGATGGGACTTCAAGTGAATATAGAGAAGACAGAGGTGATGATGATACCCAACCAACGCCACCACCGCCACCACCGCCAACAACAACAAGCTCCAATCACCATCTACGGAGGAAACTTAAAGGAAGTAGCCTCTTTCACCCACCTTCCTAGGCAGCATTGTTTCAACTACAGGCGTCACAGGCACAAGTACAGGCACAGGCACAGACGAGGACGTCAAGGCAGCCAGGATCGGAAAAGTAAAACAGGCGTTCATTAACCTGAAACCAATGTGACAATCTACAGCACTCAGCATAAAGCATGAACAAGATCTGGATTTTCAACACAAATTCAGTCAAGTAAGTCAGTGCTTCTATATGGTGGTTGAGAAACTTGACGCGTTACCAAAGGGATCTCCAACAAACTACAGATACACATGAATAGCTGCCGCCTACGATCACTCGATATTGAAGATCAGATGGGCAGAAAGAATAAGCAAGAAGGAACACACTCTGACAACGAACCAACTAAGAACCTATCACCCAACATATATGCAGAAGGAAGTGGAGATGGATTGCATTGGGCATACACTGAGACCATTCGGGGACATCACGCACTAGGCCAGTTACTCAAGTCGAACTCAGATGGGAAACGATGAGTTGGGCGTCCGAGGCGATGGTGACATGGAGGAGATGATGTGAGGAAGAAATGAGAGCTTGTGGGCTGTCGTGGAGCCAGGCTGGAAAGATTGCAGAGAAGAGAATGGGATGGAGACATGCTACTGAAGCGGTATGTTCCACTAGGAACCCGAGGGCCAAACAATAATAATAATATATGGGAAGTATTAACGAAGAATCGCATCTTAAACAAGACAATCATTCACATATACGAAGCGGATACAGTGTTTAAATGAAGACTATGCAGTGAGGGTCAAACTAACCTTGAACACATAGAATTATTGCATTTGGATTAGTCATATATTGCCGTGCAACATCCTGTATAGTTTCACGAGTACCTGACTGCATACCAGCAGTTACAGTGGATATAATACCAGGTAAATCAACAAGAACCATTCTCTGAAGTCCAGGACCTTTCACATTTAAAGAAATAACTTCAGTGCTGATGGTTTTTCCACCGCTAACAAGAGCTTTCATACGCATCTAAAGAATGTGAGAAGTGAATATTTATGTGATACAGGTTAAGTATTTACAATACTTGACAAAATTTAGTATCACAATAAGAGTATACTACTAATCAAAAAGATTACTGACACCTCACTTGAAAGATAATTTCAAATCGACCACAAAAAATGTGAATATCCTTAAGAAAAATGAGAAATCATCTACACGAACCTACATCGACAGAGTGGTGTTAGCAGAAGTTAACGAAAAAATCTGACAAATATGAACCACATTGATAAATAGGCGAGTCTTCGTCAAATGTCGAGTTTACAGATGCCTAAGCACGTATGGTATTTAAAGAATATCAAGCCCAATATATGTTATGATTAGGATCTTGAAGTTCGCACAACTGAGAATAGATAATAACCGCCATCATACAATAGGCACAATTCACTGGTTAATAACCAATACATAGGCAGAAAGTTGTGTAGCTACCAAAGAAAAGGTTAAAATTGCCTTCCTTAAAGGACTTCTAAATGTCCATTCGAATGACTTTCGGAAAATTTACCAGGTGCACCGCTGCATATCGCTCTCTTGACCAAATAAAAGTGCTCAAACCGGATTAAAGCAAGTCAGTTACATATACCAGAACAAAGGGAAAATCTAGATACATCCCCTTGATAGCTATAATGTAGACGTGAAGTCAGGCGATGTTTCGGCTCATTGCTATGAAGGATGTTGGTTCAGCAGATAAAATTAGTGTAGAATACTTACATTGGGTTTTTAACACTATCTTTCTTGAGTTTATATTTTAAGAAAACTAATAACCTGTATTTCTGCTTGACATGTTTTTCCTGTTTACAAACTTAAGTTGTTCTTTGAGATATTCTCATTAATAATTTCCATCATTCGAAAACCCCCTGAGTCTTTATGGAGTTACATCTCATTGGTTTCAGTTGACCTCGAACCAGTGGGTCACGGGTTCGAACACCTCTCCACCCACCGAGATTCGGTATGTTAGTTAGGTTAGTATCACTAGCCCTCACACAAGTAGTTCATTGTCTACTGTACGAATGTCCATATGCTTGAAGAGTGAATTTCGCTTTCGACCTGAGTCTTTTGTACTCCTTACCATTTTTGTTCGTTAGTATCAATATCGAAAGTGGCATTAGTGCATAATGGTTTCAATTTTTAATCCCTACATGGGCATATCAAAGTACAAGGTAAAAAGATGAAAGATACAGAAACGGAAATAATGTAGTTGAAAAGCGTAGAAAGTCATTAGAAGAAGGAGTAAAACAAACGATGAAATGTGATATAAAATTTAGAGTGAAGGTAAAGTGTGGGTGCATTGTAGTCGATCCTAAGCCATATTACTCAGAGTCTCCAAGCATTGATTCTAAGTGTCATGTGGACTTCAACTAGGCAGTCTACATCTCCCTACACAACTCAGACCAGTAATAATTTTTTGCCTACTGATATTACACTTAACCCTAGTCACCTTTAACGTTTTCTAACCCAACCCTACTTTAGATAACATCGAACGTCGGCGTAGACCGCAGCTAGCCACGTGTAGTACATGTCCCAGTCACCTAGGATGATGGTCTGCGACCTCAGCAACTGACTTACCTCTTTACCTATTCGCCTTTTAAATTTACAAAGCTGACAAACCAAGTAGTTCTAGCGGAAATTATACACACAATGACGTGAAATTTTATGATCAATAAGCAACTCAACTTGACACAGCCAAGGTGATTCAACTGAGACGTGAATTATCTGTAATGTGATCGGGTACATTCATCACGGTTACAAAATTTACGTCCACTGGTCACTGAAATTCGGACGCAAGCAGGGTGAAGCGCTACAATTTCGAGGGGAATTTATATGAATATTTTTAAAGGATCTTCCGTGTACATTCTGAAAACAATATGTATCAATAAATAAAATCTAGGCGAAAGAGATGGGCTAGTTCGTTTATCAGCTAATGGTTTTTATGAAGTGGATTCGAAAAACCGTTTATATACCCAGTGAGTCGGCAAAGTGAGAAGAAACTGATGAATGGAAAACAACAGTGAAAAAATAGGCAATAGTGGAAATCCTCTATTAAAAGGGGATGGAGCTTGATCGTAAATGCATGCTTTGATAACAGGTAAACTTAGAACGTACAACAATGCAAAATGTTTGTTAGAAACAACTTCACTACGCAATCTGAGGAATCCCTCCCGAAAACCTAAATACGGGAGTATAAAAGTTTAATTATAGCATTTCTGAACAGCCACGAAATCGGTTCACAGAATAATATACCACTTGGCTCAATATTTTAGCTCCTACTATTTAACAATGAAAAAAAGCATTTATACATCCATCCATCCAGACCAACCTAGGACCAGGCATTACTGCGTAACGGTCCGAGTTGCCATACCTCTTATCAGTACATCAAATAAAAAGGCAGTGAGGCGCAAGATGACGGTAAGAGAATGTAGTCAAGAAATATAAAGTAGGAAAAGAGAGGAACACTAATGAAATTGGAGATAATGTAATAAAGAAATCGTATCACTGTCACAGTGCAATATTCAATGGCACAACTTTATCTTATCATACAACCACCACCTAAGTTTTCACTACTACCATGGAAAGTACAGTCAGCTTCGGAGAAACAAACAAAGTCAGCTGGTTTAGTTGGATGAGTTTTGCTGTGATTTGTTATGGTTTTGAATACTTACAAATGAAGTTGCGAGTGGAATACATTGTATGATGAAGGCGACAGTAACTAATTAGATTAAAGGATGTACTAGGATGTGAATTATGAGGACAGAATTCTTTCGCTTCATAGATCTTTAGATGGTCTGATCAACTATCCTCTGTGTCAAGTTTTCAAGACGGATAAAACCTGAAATATATTTTCTAGCCTTATGAAATTGTATCTAAAGTAATATTTGACTGGGAATCTAAGTTCCATAAGTGGGAACAGTGGGTTTCATCATGAGCATCCCGTTCAAAAGGTTAGTATACATGATACATTTGTCAACACAAAAATAATGCAAGATAAATACTAGGAAAATTGCCTCCCATGAAGAACAAAACTCAATAACTATTTTTTATCTCAATAGAAAAATCGTTTGGGCGCATATATTTAACAAAATGCATACGCCACATATCTATGCATAATATACACATAATTTACTAACTTCTATCTCTTTCCGCAGAGACGCAAGTTCAGATTCTTTCGTGAGATCATATTCACGAGAACTATCCTTGAATGAAGCCACATGATATGGTCCTTCAGAAAGAGTAACTTTAACCGGAGAGCGAGTCATCATCTCCCCGCTGCCTCTAGGAAAAATTCGAGCTTGTGCAATCATTTCCAATACAGATGTTTTTCCAGAGCTTTGGTCACCAACAACGACAACTCTTGGTAACTGATCCTGATAAATACATCGAAAGAAAAAAGTTAAGTACATGGTTTTGAAAATAAGCCTTCCAGTTTCACTTACTTTTTTGAAGAATGAACGATGTAGCCTGTGAAAAGCACTGTAAAATCTTTTAAGTCACGATGTCTACGCAAGGAATCGAATTTATTTCATCATCTTATTTTTTAAAACGTAACTAATTTTAGACACGGCCTATGATAGAATGAAGAACAATAAAGTGAAATAATATAACTCGAGTGAAAAGCAAGTATAACAGTACAAAGGTACATGTAAATAACACTGACAGTAGTAAAAATTCAGCAAACACCAAAGGTCTACAAGACGTTAACGAGACATCTACTGGTAACTGTAAGAGATAAATTAAGTTTAATTATGTTGGTTACTTCAGCTTTAGAATTACGGTCAATATGGAGGGATTCATTACAGAACTAGTTAAGCGAATATGGTAAGTCTCATTTCACATACTTGAAATTGGTTAGGATTTCCAAGCAGAATTTCTTAGAAATGCACTAACAAAATACTGTCTCGCACAATGCTGCAAGCTAATAAAGAGGAGTTACCCAATGGAAGTGTGTAAAATATATTTGTGCCGGATTTGCATGATTCTCCTGTCACAGTCGATTTTTAAACATTGTGATGACTTAAGCTAGTGGAGAATTACGATGTCAACTGAACTCTAGTAAACAGGATCATGTGGGTTCTTCAAGCTGGTTTTATGGCTTATTTCTATGCAAAAGTGATTTGTTTTAATCAAAGACAACTTCAACATTAACCTGCTCACACTAGTGCTAATAGAGGGTAACAGTGACTCAAATACATAAGTTCCTCATCAAACACTACTTACAAGTTTTTAAAAACAAGTCCATTAAAACAGATAGCACTGCAGCTCTTAATGAACCTTTCAAATAATACCACAACTCGTAATAAGGGGAATTTTAATACAGTTTACAAGCCAAATGTTTACGTACGTACTAGTGTCACAGTACAGTCGGTACACTAATGCAACTATAACCCACTTGTTTGATAAGTAACATGAACAACTTGCTTCCGCTGCTTGAACCACTTAACCGCCATCACAACCTACGAATGATCATTGGGCAGAAAGTTACAATATTCTCATATACAAACTTAACATCCAACAGTAGAACGCGAATTGTGCTACATTCGTTCTAGGCCACGATATTTCTATACAACAATATATTATCCCCATCTTTTTATCACGTTTTTATTTCCTGTTACTTCGTCTTGTTACCTAGTATCTTGGGGTATTGATGAAATGTAAGGTAAACAGGACATTTACACAGTGATGTCAGTTCCCATGTTGGCAATGAATGAACGACTGAAGTTACCTATAAAATGTAAGCCTTAACTAGCTTATCCACCAATTACAGAAGTAAGTTATGCTTCTGAAGTCTCGAGAAGGAGCGAATGTTATCTTTAGCTTAGTTCAGACTTGCAACATTCTTTGAGCTTTTAAGACTTTCACACACAAATATCGGCCTGGAAATATAGGCAAAATAATTTCTGCATATCAAAACGGCACTGGCTAACCTAACAAGGCATAAACGCCGGAAACATCTCGGTAATGCATATCTACAACTTTATATAAGAACCAGTCTGAATTTGTCTGAAGAAAAAAAGTTACCACTTAACTAGTAGGCTGAGAAAACACAGCCAGGATTTTTAAACTTATGACAACACGCGACATAGTTTAACTGTCATTCAAGATCATCACCGTCTCTACAGTCGACTTCGTGGAGTGCACAAGCACTTGCTTTCACATGAAATTACGAAATTGATATCCTAGCCAGTCAGTAGTAAATTAGTGGTCATGAAGTACATCGAACTGTTCTGGAAAATGAGTTTATTTTAAAATGCTATACATCACAGATTAACAGAAACTATAGAACCTCTGAAAATCATGGACCACTTTACAGTCTTTAATTTCATGGTGATACGTTGATTAGACCGTCTAAAGTTGCATCTCATACAATATATCGCCAGTCAAAACTGAAGTCCATCACTTAGGTAGGAAAAGCAAGAAGTGATAATTTCACTATGTTACATCTTAAGCAATGGTTGCTTTAAAAATGTAAACATTGTATGAAGTCGGCAAAAGCTGACACACAAGAAGCAGGTATTTCTTTATTTGTATGGTGAATATCAGAGGATGTAGATTACTAGGTTACTTTAGTGCCAAAAATAGGAATTTTTCAAAATCACCCATTTTTTACGCTATAACCCTACATAAGTGTTGTAACTTTGAACGGTCATCAGGAAATAGGTAAGTTTATCAGCTAAACTTGAGTGGGAAGGGATAACTCCGAAATATTTAGTCGAATGGTAAAAACAAACCTGGTAAAGTATTCATTTTCATACTTACCTGAACATTATATGCTGAATCTAAATCTGAGAGCTCATCCAAAACTTCTGAATACATATCAATTAGTGATTTCTAAAAGCTGCTTAAAATCATATCAACATACATTAATACGGCCTTTTTGTACAGACTTCTGTGACTTCAAAAGCAACTCACTACGCAATTCCCTATTCTCTTTTAGAAGCGTTTCAATGCGTTTGTGGAACGCTAACTAAAATTTTGTAAATGAAATATTAAACAAATGAAGTAAGTAAATTAAACTTACCTCGTTCTTGAATATCGCCTCTTGCAACTCTTCGACCGTAACGTGCTTAACGTTTCCTTTTTCAGGCTAGGAGGTGTAAAGTAGTTAAAAGAAAAAACCTTAGTATCACTCTGTTCAGGAACAAGCAACCGAGAAGCCGTCTCTGCACCTGATAGGGTGTGAATAAAATGATTAGATTCAAACCATTCGTTGTCTCGTATTCCATTGAAGTTGTACGTAAGTTCTTAGTGTCTTCCAATGGAGATCCAGGATTCAACTGAGTTGTGAACAATAAGAGAAACTCACAGACCTTCCACGACTTAGTGAGAGAGGCAGCACAGTCTTTTACATACTGTATAGTCTCCTTGAACTGATCAGTCGGTATGTAATTTTTAATGGATATGTCCGGTAGAGAATTTTTAACTTCATCATATTTCTACGATATAATGAGGTAAAAAAATTCATGCGTACTTTTGATATTGTATAGGACCCTCCAACGCCAGCTCCAACAACTAAGTACCGGAAACGCAAAAGCCTTGCCGCTAGCTTTCCAAATTGGCCTGCTATACTTCTTTTTTGCAGAAGTTGAGGACCAACATAGGCAATACGATTCCTGGACAACATTTCCTAGAGGAGCTACTTAGCCCTAGAAACTCATGCTGAAACGCATTACAGGAAAACAGCGCTTGGATGCGTTAAATGCCCAATAACGCGCATTTAAATGAATTCATTTATATTAGGAATGCATATTTTGTTTTAATTTTGGACTCACAAAACTGCAGAAATTTCTCTTCCCATTGAAGCTGCAAAGAAAAATGATGGCAGCTTTATTGATAACCTCAATGCTAGTTTAATTGCATTACAAAAAACTTGGATGCTCAACTTATATGATGGCAATTAAGTTCATCCCGATGGTTTCAAAGTTCTTCATCAGGGAAGGTGTACTGTGCGAAAACACTCAGTGCTGCTCGTCAGATTGTAATTTTCGTCCATCCTAATGATGATGCGCATTGTATCACTGTTAAGTGTCTTCCCAAACATTTATATTATTATTAATTTATACACACCACCGGTGTTTACGCGACTCCTGGTTGCTGCTACGCTGAATCGTCCAGACTCGATGACAAATTCATGGAGCTTGCTGCTCTCATAATTTGTGTTTCATTACATGTACTCTCAAGTGATTTTAACTCTTGTTACTGCAGTCACTTGTGCTGGTTTGATCATCGTAACCCAGTAAATTTTTCAGTTCTTATGTTTCACTAATTTACTTGTTCTACCTATACTTATTTGTTCTTCCGCCTTGTTCTTCACCGCACTTCGGAGAAAAGACTATGGTGTATTACGAAGGATTTTGAAGGCTGTTAGTGGAGTGAGTGGTACACTGCTAACCATGCTAATAAATGAAGTCATGGATAGGCACCTGGACCCTTGTAGATAGCTCAGGCTACAAATATTGTGTTTGAGGACAAGCATCCTCTGCATTTGCACTCCTCTCCATGTCTGTCTTCGGAGAAGACGAGAAGCACATATACTGAACTCTATGCGTGGCTGACCACATACATAAACTCAACAACACCACCCTAATTAGCCTGCGTATTGTATGAAGAATGTCATGTTAGACGCAGTTTTACCGATGAATTTTGCAGCAGTGAACAGTTATCATGAGCCTGAAGTCATCAAGCACTTCGACGATCTGCTGTTCTCTGTCATACACTGTTGAACGTCAGCATTGGTGGTAATATGCGTTTAAAAAATGTTGTGCAACGCATAAGCTCGTCTAACTTCACATGCCAAATATTCCGCACTGTGGACAATATTATGGTTTGGAATAAGATAAGTATCTCATGTCGTTTTTAGTGTCATTAGAAACATTGGCATCAATGGAGCAAGTGTGGGGACGTGATAGTTTTTTGGTCGCTTGAGACTAAAATAACAGGTGCTCCTACCCCCTTTACTTACTGTCGATGCTTCTTCCAGGTCTACTTCCAATGCACATTTGTGTGCATATTTGTGGATTATCTGCCAAGTTTTCACGTCATCGTGAATAGTAACATTGGAGACTTTGTCGCACTTTGGACTTCGTTTAAATGGAGCAGGAAAACATCGCGTTATTGCCCTTTGGATAGCCCCAGCACTCAGAGTATTTCATTCACGCGCACACTTTATAATCTGTGAAAAAGAAATCTTTTAATCCTGGCCTGCATCTTCCTATGAAATCTGAAACTGTGGAGCTTCTCTACCGTGTCCGTGTTCGAAAACCCATCAAATGCCTTACTGAATTCAATGAGCATGGCATCTATGAGCAGTCTGTTTTTCCTAGCTGCTGCCCATTCTTTTTCTGCTATGAGGACGTTTGCTGGGCAAGAGTGACCAGAGCATAATCCATGTTGTAGCTATTTGGGGAAATTATATCTTTCAGCGTGACTGACGGTTTTCTCTAGAAATTCAGTAAATATATTAATTAGTTACCTTGAAAACAGTTTGACACTGCGTGCCTATTACATATGTTGACGTTGGCTAATTATCGCATCTGTTTAATCTCCTGTTAAACGAGTCTGATATAGGCACATTGTAAATAGTGGTGCTTGGCATGCGGCGACAATGCCGGCGGGGAAAACATGATAGGCCAAGATACCTGTCATTATGACTGGAGAATTTTACCAATTTAACGTTGCTCAGCAACACAAAACTCTCTTCAGGAGTGCGCACCAGTCCCATCGGCAGGGCGTTTCCAGCAACGCCGCCTGGAGTACCAACACCTCAGTATATTGCGAAGACTGTTCAGAACCAACCGGAGAGATTTTCCTCCTCGGACAGATTAAACCCTACCAAATCCTCCGATTTCCCGGTTGATAGAATGGATGATAATTCATCTTTGCGATTGGTATTCTTCTTAATCTGTAGTAACAACCGTTTCAGACAAACCTAACTGGCAATTACCAGTCGCCTCATATACGTACCAATGTGAGCCTGGTATTACATGATGAGCGCGCGTTTCCAACCCTACAACATGCAGCCTGAAGGCTGCACCACTCTTTTCTAAAAATTGGTCCCATAGTTCTTTTCTGCTCCTGAGAAAACTATGTGTGGCCTAATCAAACCTTGGGGGTGGTGAGAAGCCCATCGTGAAGACGACCTCCGCATTACCGGTCAAGTTGCGCCTTCAAGTGTCGCTCTAACTTCTTTCCAGATCTTTACGTTTTTTTCCGACCTACAGTCCAGTTCTGCGTACTGGCGCACTCCTTGATGATCAGTGTATTCAAGTTTTGCAAATTTCACCCTGAAATAGCGGAATGGCAGCTTATGCCACCAGCACAAAACTCATAACGTTTTACTACATGACCACCGTTGACTGATGGAGGCAAGTGCTGTAGGTCAGTTTCTATGTGTTTGGTAGCTAAGGGCCGAGTCCAATGGCGGTGGCTTATGCCCGGATCAAATCGCATCACAGTGACAACATTTTGAATTACAGTGTCCTCCAGTGACTGCGGAATAGTTGGTCACCATTTACTTGAATATGGAGATGTGAGTCCCATTCGATTAGTGTGGGGTGCGTTTAGGTCAATAATTATGTGATATCTTTTGCCATTACATCACTCGCTTATGGGGTTTGATACGAAGTCATTCGGTTACCAACTTGGATGCCGCCAAGCCCATTAGCACCGATTTCTAACCTACTGCAAGCTACTGACCCTGGATATGAACTCATCGGAGCCACACACCTTTTGTGCACAACTCGGAACGATATCCACCCCATCTTCTTTCGGAGGACCGCTCCTTAGATCCTCCTTGAGTTAAGTTTTCTGGATCTTGTTTACCTAGTCTGACCACCTAGGAGATTTGTACCTTGAGCAACGTTAACGGGATAGTACGTTGAAAGGTCCACTAATTGACATGGCAGCGACAGGAGTCTATAACTTCCGATCAGTCAGGACATTAGGCATCATACTGACAGCCTTTGAAATAACGAGTGGTTGTGCTATCTCATCTCCGGAACCGAAGGCGCCGTAGAGTTTCCGCTAAACTTTCCTGAGACAGTCAAATCAACCTAGCACGCTTAGCCGGCATCATCATTCACTAAGTTTCGGGTGGGAAGCCGCTCACACTGTGGCAACTCCATCTGTGATATCGGGGTTTATTTCGCAACATGTTTCCGTCCTGTGAACAGACCTGTCCGGCCCTTCCCACTCATGCGCATCCTGCTTAAATCTAATTTTCTTGTGAGCCTAACCTCAGTGACATTTGTTGCGCCATCTTTCGAGACTTTATTAAGTGGAGCCGTAGAACTACCCTCATGGGCAGGCTTGACCGCTTCTTTCATGCTTTTGGAAGTTGGTAGTAGGGAGACGCTGCACAGCAGCCTAGATATGGGCTTGCTACAGAGTTTCATTCAAGTGACGTGGGGCTAGCGCATTTTGCTTTGGCGGCAACGGTTGTGGACATCAGGTTCTATTCACTCACGCATGAGATATAGGCATTTTGGTCAATCAACAGCATTTTTGTGAGTGAACACTTTGACTAAGTAAGATGCCGATGGTCTCTGGGCTGGTTATTCAGAAAACGTCTGAGAGGTGGTGAAATAAGATTTTGCTTTGCAATGCAAGAAGAAACTTGGCAACATAAACAACACTTCACCGTACCAAAAAACATATTTGTTGCAAAAACTGACCCAAAAAAAGAGATACTAACTTTAGGTGATTGCTCCTAGTGAAAGTACACCACAAGGCGCTCAGTGTGGTTTACGCAACTATGGCGAAACTCATAAGGAACACAGAAAGATCACTCCCTTCTTAGAAGCTATCGCAACTACCTCTTGGGGTTTCGTTCCTATAGTGAGCAGGGAGATCTCTGCTTTATTTTTAGTTCAACGTGGCCTGCGTGTTCCCCGCCCAATTCACGAGGTTCCAAACGACAGTCGGCGGCAAGCCGTGACGGATACTCACTCGCTTGTGTTCTGCGTTCGTTTTTTGTGAGGTATCTTCACTCCACAGGATGCGTTGCGCTCTCAAAGCAACCTCCAAAGGTTTGCAGTTAACTTTGTAATAGCAAGGAGGGATGTTGAGTGTTTTTTCACCTACACTATCACCTGAGTTATCGCAGATTCCATTGCTATGTAACAGCTGCGACCAAGTCAAAACACAGTCGTTATATATTCCGGATAGAAATAACACACATGCTTGGCCAACAGCTAACTTTACACTCAAGAGCCACCGATTACTGCCTGGGATGAATAGGAAAAACTGAGACTATACGCCACAATCGGAAACTTACACAGTAGGTCACAAAGCTCATCATCTGGGCTGTCTGTCCTTGCGGCAAACTCCCGCATCTCCTACGGGCACCACTCTGTTGGAAAAAGTTTGCGAAGGCCACTGCCCTGTTACCAACAGAACTTTGCTGAGAAAATGTTCTGAAAGCGTTCTTATCCCTGCTTCTTTAAATCTTAGTAGTGTGATATTGCTATGTGTACACTTTCGGGCGCTCTGGGTGGAGTAAAAAGCTTTACCGCATTCTTTTCTGGGTAACCACTGCTGACTGGAAGTCATCAGATATCCCAGAACTGATGCAACTCTACTTGTTGCAGTTGGCATCTCACTTTTTAGGCCGGCCATGCAAAAGATGTATCATGTTTCTTTATTCACAGGGGTCATACCGTGGTGCCAAGTAGCCTACCGAACGCTCAAATATCTT